AACAACAACAACAACAAAATCCTCCACAAAAGGAAACAGTCTCCCATCAGTTTTTTCAAGAAACATATTGTTACCTAGGGAGGTAACAATTTTTAGTTATTTAACTCCCTCTGGCCTTGCCCTTTAAAGGCTTCGCAAGAGGCAGGATAGGCATCATATCCTATTTGAGAAAATTTTAAAGTTTAAGTGTCTAAGTTCCCTGGGCATTACATGCTCCAATACATGGATCACAGCATCACAAGCCATCTGAAAGATCACAGAAATGCTGTGTTGCAAAGATGCATTTTAAGTATTTAAAAATATTTACTCCTCATACTAAAGGTTGCCAGCAGCAGTTGTTTTCAGGAATTAAAAAGTAGAAATTATGTTTTGCTATATAAGCAAGTCCCACACATTTCAAAACTGCTGTTACCACTAGCATGCTCTGTAAAGACTCACCTTTGGAGGAAGTGTATCGTTTTCATTCTTGAGGACAAACCTTCCCTCTCGATCGTCTTTGTTCCAGTTTAATTGTACAACAAGAGGCTTCTCATCTACATCTAATCTTCTTTCTTCTTCAAAAAAAACCAAAAAGCAGTAGCAGTTACTCGGTATCTCAAGAGCAAAGATATTTAGAAGTAAGTTAAGCTCTTAAAAACTCAAAAGCTTTACTTCACAGTACACATCAGTGGATGCTATTTTGTTAAGCAGAGGGACAGAAAGAAAGCCTGGGAAGGTAGAAATACATGTCCCCTTTCTAGCAACCAGCTTAAGTATATTCTGTCCATTTACGTAAGCTAACAGCCCCCATAAAGTAGTCTTGTATAACTCCTTTGTCAGAACTAAGTCTGGGAAAAGGATTATCACTCAGGAAGAGAAGTTAGATCTAGAGTTACAATGTTTCAAACTTTAGAACTTCATGAGACTTCCAAATACTAATTTTCTTTATTTTAAATTTACTTAGATTGCAGTCTGATTGGGGCCTGAGAAATAATATTCCAAAAAGACTGCACAAAAATAAATGAGATTAGAAAATTAAAAACAAACAAAAAACCTCCCCAACCCCCTCCCCCCAAAAAAAACCCATTATGCACATATACAAAACAAAATTTCACTTAGTGTATTACAGGTATTTTAAGTATATGGAAAAAATCTGAAAGAGTGGTTAAAAACTTAACCAAGTTTTGCCATTTGATCTCCCTTTGTGAAATAGGAGACAGTACTTAGGCATAGCAAAAGAATGTCTTTGCAGTTACTTTTATTTAGTAAGAAACACTCCTACTGATTGAGGCACCTCTCATGCCTCAACCATGTTTTAAACATCAGGAACTTGCTCTGCAAAGCCAACTATTTCATTTTGACTACAGGTACAGTGCTAACAGATTTTTAAAGAAACCTAAAGCAGAAAAAACCCACATACTAATCATTGTTTAAACCACCGATGACACAAAAACTTTTCCCTAATCCCATATAATTCACAGCAAGTCATCATTCATAGATCATTAAAACTTAAATGTATCCCAATAAATTTCCATTCTGGATCTTAAATTATTTTCAGTCTTCCAAATGGAGAATTTAAGGTAATTCAATCATTTGTGTAAGCTTCTGAAGTACAAAAAGGAAAAAGCACAAATAAAAGCTATTTTCTCCTATTTCTGTCTCCACCACACACACTATCACCTTCCAGCCTGAAGGAGACAAATGGTAGCAGTACCAAAAGCTATTTTGATATCCAAGTTCTTCACAAGCAGCTTCAAACTAAGTTTTAACTTCTACTAAATTGAACTTCCCCCAATTCAGCAGTAAAAGAATATGCATTATAAGGCTACCTATCAAAGGCCCACAACTTCAAAGAACAGAGGATATACTCTTAACTGCTCCAATTTAACATTCCTAGTCTCTTAATAAAAATTTAGTCTTTACATATTAGTCCTAAAAATAGCAACTCTCTCACAAATGTCAACAAATAAACAGGATGTCATGCACAGCATTTAATAGGTCATAATCAAAATTTACATAAACTGCAGGCCTGATATGCGTAATTATGTTTTTAAATACCACCCCTTCAAAAAACAATTAGTAGCAATGTACTTAAGGACAAAACACTCAAGTCTTATGTGGTTCAGAAGCTGAGGGCAAACCTAAAGATATTTTGGCTAGGGGTAGACAGGACGGTGGTGAGGATGCAGGAAGGACTCCATGAATAAATACTAACCGCCGCTGACATGCACTTCATAAAGCGAATATTTCGGAGATGACAACATTCGCATGTCTGGTCGAAACTTCTCTGCAAGAGTTTCTATCACATCTTGAGTTGTGGCAGTACTAGAGACACGGATACATTTTGTTGCAAAATTTCCAGCTGCTTTGTCTTGAAAGTAGAATCTCATTACTCCATGAAACTCCAGATCCTGTAAAGAAATAAAAATACAAAATCTGAGTGCTGGCTAGCAATTATAAGGTTCAGAGTTCTTTTATTATTTATTAGTTCCAAAAATATTATGAAAATATAAGACATTCAAATACCACACTGGTTTTCAAAATTAACAACTAGGGCACTATAAACTTGAAAACACAAGAATATCATGCAAAAACAAATTAAGTACTCTTTTTTACTGGAAATACTGAGAACTCGAATTTTTAGGTATTCAAATCTCAGCTATTGTCAGGAGAATCAATAAAAACATTTTTTCTTAAACCTAGAAATACATCTTGAAGACTGTTTTGTTCCTGATAGCAGGCAGGCCTCTGTATCCCAAGTCTATAAGAGTGTTATGCTCAAGGAACATCAGTGTGTCTCAAAGAGAACAGCTTAATGTCACAGGAGTCAAAGAATCATCTTTTCTCTCCTCTTTCCATCCCTTCATGCTGTCATCTGTTTGTCCCAGAAACAACCTCTTCAAGAAGTTAAATAATTTGATTTGTTTGTATTTTATGTTTTCAGAAAGGTTAGTCTTTGGTACAGCTCCCTAAACACTCTGGGAGGGAAGAAAATACATGGTAAAGAAAGGGGCTGCAGCTGTCAACCAGGTGGCTACATTACCACTGCAATGACAATCTGTCAAGTATTTTCCTCAGCCATCAGAGCCCTCTGCTTCACTCTGCAGCCTACCAAACTGCAGGAGGATACTGTCTGCTCCATTACTGATCCGAACACCAACTCCAAATTCAAATTTCAGTCCCCCAGTGGACTCCACCTGGCTAACTCTTCCCTCTTGCATAAATCCCAGCACTCATGGGGCCCTGCACTCAAGGGAAATCAAGGATATTCAACTCTCTAGTTGACTTTGCCAAGCTTACTCTACAATTTAATAATAATTGCTTCTGTCTTCCCCTTTAAATAGATCAATTTCAAAAGCTTTGAAATGTAATGACTCCATTAGTGGGACACCCTCAGGTAGTTGGAAGTAAATTCTTTCAAAGGCTTAGAAACGGACAAATTCTCAGGTGTCCAGCACAGTGACAGATTTCATGCTAAGCACAGCTCCTTCCAGCACTACATTTGACCCCAACACACATCACAACATTTCTCTGAGCAGCAAAGAACCCAAAATATTTATTGAAGCTATTCTCTCATTCAGAAAACCTTCACAAGAAGAAAAGAAAAAGAATATTTAAAAAAAAAATTAAAAAGTCAAAGAGTTACAATCTATACTAAGACAAAGACCTGTTTCTCCTAGATACATGCAGAAGTAAGCACTGTTCTTCCCAGGATACTCCCAAGTCTACACCAATACAGTAGAGTCCAGTGCAAATGCACCACAGACCTAAACAATGGCTGATTGTGTTTCATTCTGTTATCCTCACAACTTGCAGAATTAATCTTTTGCAGCCTGCACTGGTGTGTTCCCAAAGAACTATCTATTGTACTCCCAAACTAGTGTTCCTTCCTGCAAGGAGTTACAGTTTCCACACTTCTCACTTCAGCTAATTCCCAGCCCCACATACACTCTGAACTTAACCGCAATTATACAAAGGTGGGTCTCAATTCTTCAACCCTAAACATTTTTGTAACAGCTACTACTCACCTCTGAAAAGCATCCTATTCACTACATTTCTTGCCTTTAATTACCTATATCTAATTATTAACTAATCATCCATACAAGGAATTACCCCTCTAAAGCACAAGGCTATTTATTATATGACTTCTGGAAATCCTACCTACCATAGCAAATTGGAGCTTCCTTACATGTATTCTTGCTAACTCCTTCAGTGACTTCCAAAAGGTCTGAGGCACAACTTCCTTTCAAAGTTCTGTCACCTTTCCACAACCTATTAAAATTACCACATGTCCATGAATTCTACACGTGTATCCGTGAATTCTGCAAGTTAATGTAGTTTCTACACACAGACAACATCCCAAGTAAACATCCCTTTTTAATATTGGTCTCACACTGCACTTACATTCAGCCACCTGAAGGTGTCCAGCTAACAGAATCATTACATACCACTTAGTAAAATTACTTCACTTCCTATAGTTTTTGATAAACACCGTCTAGTTCTAGTAACTTGTTTTCATGTTATCCATTTGTTCTCTAAACTCTCAACAAATGCTGAAAGCATTTGAAAGTATTGCTCAAATTCTTTTGTTCTATCTTTTGCTTTTATATTTTACTTGTCAGACTTTATATCTTGACAATTTTCCTCACATGGGTACTACTTCAGCTTTCTAGTACCTATCTTTGCCTGATGTTCAGCCACAGTAACTTCCTTTCACACTTTCCTTGGTAGCTGGCATGCTTTTGGTCTGTACCTCCAGCACAGCATCTTAATTCTCAGCTGTCAGTAAGTACTTCGCTACTACTTGCCCCTTTAGCTTTGACAAGCTTTCCCAGGGCAGGTATCCTGCATTTCCCACTGGGTTGGAAAATTGTGTAGTTCCTGCAAGAAAAATGAATTTAAGCATGTCATGATCTCTAGTACAGAGAGCATTCTTGCAGGGAACGTTCTGAGCCACATCCCACACACTTTTTTGGACTCAGTTAGAGGGTTGCCTCTTCTGTTAAAGCTCCTTAACCATGACGCTTCACACAACAGCCAAGGTATTTTTATAACAAACTTAAGGTTTTGATCCACATGTTTGATTACTGTGAAAGACAACAACACATTTGGTTTTTACAGAAGTATCATGAAGCACAATCATATCCCATTTTATAACATTTATTTCCCTTTACACAAGGTTTTCTCCACCATCACCTCAAGGTAGTGCTGAAGGATAACATTCCATTTGATTTTTCCAATTTATTTTTTTTAAGGAGAGGAGATTATTTCGCTGAGAACACATTCCACTGCCCATGAGGCATGTTTTTAATCCTACAGTTGTTTTAACAACACAGCAGAGACTGAAGAGCAAGGGAACATAGATTCTTTTAGAGAAGATGTAGAAAGCAATTCAAGAAGCTTTCTAAACTACCATAGGAGTTTTAATTATTATTATTATTCAATGTTTTACTATTACAACTTATTTCTACTTCTGGACACTAACAAGGCAGAGGAGACAAAACTGCATTTTAAATTCTCAAGATACAATGTTTGTATGAAGGAAGTTTTGTTTTCCTTTTCTGAAAGAAGTAATGTGTTCTGAAGAATCAGCATTTGAGTTTTGTTCCATTGTTTTGACAATCTAGGTATGAAAACAACTGAATGCATTGACCACTGTCCCCTTCTCCACACCCTCTTCTATGGCAGCTTCTCAAGCTGTTTCCCCACAGCCCATGTCCTGCTTCCCCCCCAGACACTTTTCCCAAAGTTTCCTATTACAAAAAAAAAAAAAAAGACTGCACAACTGCATCAGAATGTTCTACCACTTCCCCATATAAAACTCTCTTTAGTTTCATGTTTCATTTCCAGTATGTTTCAAACTGTACCTATGGGCACTGCTAGAATATCACAGTATTTAAATAAAAGTGTTTAGTGACAAGGAAGTAACTGGTTTCACATTTCAGAAAAATCAGGAAAGTAGGAGACTACAAAAACAAAAAAACCCCCACACCTTTTAGTCTTCATTATTATTATTAGACATCTCATGTGTGTGTGTGTGTGTTTGTATAGTTGCAGTTCAAGCCACATTTAACTTTCTGACCATGTACTTAGCAGATGAATACCAACCACGCAGAAACCAATGCCACCACTCACACCCAGACAACAAGGTAGGCACTACAGCACTCTCCACTCTAATTCTGAATTAAAGTGTTTATTTTTCAGAGGTATATTTGATCCTCAAACTCATTTACTCCTGAATGTCTTTGCCAAGAGTGCTACTAGGTAGGTTCACTGTAGTTGATAACATGAACTTGTGTCAAGAGAAGAGGCAAAATAATAAAAATCACTTGTCCTAAACCACATAGATACAGAAGTATCTATTATTGCCTAACACATTCTTGTAAGCAAAGAAATATCCTCAAAACATTTACAAATCTCTTAAAACCATCTTTCTCTAAAGATAAGAACTGCCATTTATAAGTTATCAAAAAGAAATTAAAATGTTTTCTGGATTTCAAGAGTGACTAATTACTGAAGTGTATGAACACTCAAATTGCCCTCAGGAGTTTAAATGCATCATAAGCTATTTTAGCTCTCTCATCTGACCACACATTAGGTATTTTAGGTGTGCAAGTTCATAGTTCCTTATGTGAGGATATAGATCAGTCTTCAGCTACACGAGTACAGTTAATTTTCACAAAATTTTAATTCTGATCATCTAGACTGCAAAATACATTTTAAAGAGCACCTAACAAAAGTCAGCTTTTTAGGCCTTTAAAATCCTAAAGGCCATTTTTCTTCAATACAAAGCCTAATTATTCATTTTAATCACTATCAAAAGAAAAGAACTTACAGTAGTTTCCAAAAGTATATCCTACCAAAAAGAAGGTTTCAACTTACATAATAATTGCCAGTTAAGTATTGTTTCTTGGGTTCACAAACAAAAGTAAGCTGCACCCCCTTTTCATTAGGCACAAAGAAAAAGAGTTTACAAAAGCAGTTCAAATACCTAGTTACCAATTTTTGCATAAAGTCAGCGACTGCTTCAAAACCAATTGGTTCAAACCAATTGTTTGATCTTTAAATCCAGCTCCTGTTACTTACTCTCAAGTACTTTAGAGCAGTAATCAGTAATGATCAAGGTTGCTCATGTGAAGCTATGTTATAGAGAAGTGCAAATAAGTAAGAGATGCAGAGAAGAGCGACTCGAGCTCCCCTCTCCAATTATGAAGACTGGTTACATACACATACAAAAAGCATTCATAATTACGGAAGACAAAAGTGTTTAATACTTTGGTTACTTAAAAATCCCAACAAAACACAATCTTTTCCAAACCTCTCTTTCTGCCAATCATCCCACTCTTTACACACAATATCATAGCCAAGAAGGAATATGAAAAACAAATAGAAGGAGATAAAAAGACTGTGC